TATATATATGTATATATGTATGTATATATATATATATCTCCCAAGCGAAAGAGAGGGAGGATCTCTCCTCAGTTCCTCTCCCTCTTTCTTCTTCGTTTCGTTGCGCCGCACTCTCGTCCTCGTGCATTTCGCCGTTCGTGATAAAAGTTTGCACAATGACGTGGTGATATAATAATGCGTGTGTTCCTTCCTTTTGCCCAACGGGATTCCGGCCGTTCTCCGCGAAACGACTCCTAGACACCGTGTCCTAAGATCGATTGAAAGAAAAAGAAAAACCGCAGAGTGACTTAGGAAAAACTTTAGTTACATTACACTTATATCTCCCCCGCCGTCGTCCTTTTTTTTACCTATCGTTTTTAGCGTTTAATACAAGACAGAAAGAGAGAAAGAAAAAAAAAGGGGGCGATTGGGAATGTCGCGCCACCGACGTTCACCGCCCGCCAGGTTCCGAAACTTTTGCTACCGTCGTTTTTATAATTTTAGAAAACGCAAAACGGATATCTTTTTTATGTAACATTTGCAACGTATAGATAAGAGTAATGTATGTTGATCGTGAATATAACGAGTATTGTTATATGATTATTAAAAGAAAGAGTTTCGAAAATACATTCCATTTTTATTTTTCCGCCGGCTTTTCGCAAACTGTATGTGCCCGATGCGCAAAAGGACCTTTCTTTCTTACAGCAATACTTACATCTCCGCATTTTTAGAGCTCGGGAAGGCCCACGTTGCGGACTTGCTATATGGATTTTTCTCCACTGGTGTTTGACGCACGAAAGGAGACTAAAGTTTTTCTACACATGCTCTGTAACGAACGTATCTGTTGTCACAATTCCCGAGCAATCAGTTTTTTTTTTAGACTAGGTGCTTTTCAATTGTAATATCACTAGACACTTTCGTGTAGATATATACAACACATTAAGTTGTGTTCCAATTCGTCAACACAACACTACACATCCGTACTCAGCCCAAGGGCTACTAATTAGCTGTGTAATCTTGTTTTCTAATGACAATTATACTGAAAAAAAAAATTTATTAAATCTTAATAATATTTCTTTGAATAGTACTAATTGTAAGTAAACATTTATTTACAGTAATAAATA